GATTTCTTCGGCAAAATCATTCTTATTTAAAGAAACAGCTTCGTGTGAATGCTTCGATAGAAAAACATGTTTATCGTTTGATGCTTCTTCGAATATCACGAGAACGTTTACCCTGCATATAAGGCCACTTTTGTTTTGGCCTCTGAGCGCCTGCTGAGTCGCGTCTGTTGACTCCCAGCTAAGGTCACAATCTGTGATCCTATCCACTCTCGAAAACTGAAAGTTAAAAATATCAAAACTAAAATGTTGATGTAACTGTTTCTTTAATAAAACCTTTTCTTCCAAATCACATAACTAAATAAGGTTATGAACATTTTTTGAATACACGAGTTTTTTTGCAAAATTTCGAATTAATGAAGAAAAAGTTGCAATACTGTTCAAACCTGTCGAATTCCTTTCATAATGAAGTTAGATATTTTCTCTCTTAGTGATATATATTTATACATATTATATCTATAAATCATTTCATATATAAGTTTCCGAAACAGGGTAATTTATCATGTTTAGTTAAGTTAATTCAAGGAAATCACAATTGAAATAATATACATAATAGTGGCCTGCAGCAGCAAAAATGCTGCACTCAAGAGAGTGGAGAATGGGGTCCTGGAGCAGCAAAAATTGGCTGTTCTGAAACGCCACACGTGAACACTGAAGCTTCTTCCTTCCTCGTCGCATGACGTCAGCTCTGTCGTAAGCGGTGACGCACTGAGTATGATAAAATTGTAGTATGATGTATGAGAAATTGTGGATTACCGTAATATAATTTGTTTAATTAAAGCTTGGTAAATCCTATGAGTAGTTATTTCTCTTCCCATAGAATCAATATACGTTTTCCTTTTTTTGATGAAACAAATCAAATCAACTTCTCATGCCGCAGAAATATTTGCAGGTCGGGTCAGACTATTGAGTCATGGTAAGTTGCTCATTGCATCGTCTGGTCTGGGTCGCCAAAAACCCGTATTATCGGGTTAAATCTTAAACGTGTAAACGATTTTGCATTCATGATTAATATATTTTAAATCATCTGTGTGAGGGTTGCAAGAGCAATACAAGCACTAAGACATGTCACAACACTTGTACTTCAACATAATCTTCCGAAAACTTCGTTGTGGCTTATCGAATTAGTTTTGATAAATGAAAATCAACGTTTAATTCAAAACACATCTTCATGAATTGTAATGTGGAATAAAAATGTCGACTCTCTTTGAAAATTTATTAGAGTTTGTTACTGAAAAGTGTCATCATTTCCAGTTTCTAAATTGTACGTGTGCGTCACACTTTTCCTTAAATGAAAATGGCACGCAGGTATATGGGGCATTACAAAACGCGAGGGACTCCCGTTAATTCTATGCATGACCCAAAACACGGATCATGTAAGTATAACTATGTATCTCTCGCAAAGCGGTTAAGGCTAAAGGTAATGATTGCACGGTGTCGGCAATCACTAAATATTGAAAAGATATATTCTATATTGATATATTGATATATATTTTATATTGATATATTTTATTAATCCGGCTATTTCACCTGGTAGCACTTTTAGTGCCTCTTGGATTTCCGATGTTTGTAGATTTTCTTTAATTAATGGGGATGGGCTAAAGAATACTGGCCATCAACAAATCGCTCGACTCTAATAATGGGAACGAGGATGAATTGGGAAATGAAGAATCGTGCGCGGTTCTAGACCACTTTAATTAGGCATTCGTCAGGAATCGAACGGAGGAAACCACGGGAACGACCTGAAATATTGTGAAACAATGTGTTTTTATCCCCAAGATCCAAGATGTCGTTTTGTAGGTTAAGCGCTTATTAGTTATAAGAAAACTCAAATTAAATAATTGATAAACAAACTTTAATTATACGCTCTAATAAGATGTACTTAGGTATGTACAGATTTTCGCTGTACAATGATGATTAATATTGTGGGTGCGAAACTCCTCGGCTCTACTCTCCGTTCACTGTTAGGCACCAGAGTCTATAGTATGGTGGATTGCCCTTTTCTGCCAGCGCTCGTCATTATGGTGAAGTGTCGAGATGAGTAATAGCATTAGCACTAAACTAAAGTACTTGGAAGGTAATAGGAGAATCATTAGTACCTCGATCGTATGTTATTGATCTCAAACGATATAAATATATCTCAGTAGAATTCCTTCCGTTTCCATTCGACATGCGTAATTGCTTTTTTCATTAACAGTGCTCATGATGTGTGCAAATGAAACGCGACGTATTTATGTATATTATTTGACATTCACAGACCTTTCGATTACGTACAGTTCAATTTGTCGAGTCAACATTCCACGAGAATGCTTGACAAATTGTAAAACTGTCAAGTAACTTGGACCATTCTATAAAATTTCTTGTACTCTTGAAATACCCACGTCATCATCAATAACTTGTTTACACTGAGTCAATTGTAATTAATGTTGTGCCTTTTCCTGTTTCGTTAATAACAATGTATGTGTAGAATAATCGAGCTTAATATGCTAATATCAGAGTACTGAGAGGATTTTGCTTTTCAGAATGCTTTAGAAAAGGTGTTGAAGGCAAGTAACAAAGAGATATTTCGTCTTATGTACGCACGTGTTTCAGAATAAATGTTATACATTTTTCGGACATGTAGAGGGATTGAAAATTTCTGTCTGTAAAAAGCATCTTGAAAATTGCATAAAACGAAGTTACATTCGTGACATTTACTCCTTATATTGAGGCAACTTGCCGTGCAGTAGTGATCACGTCCTGGCGCAAAGTATTTTCAAAGTATTTTCACCGAGCATCGGTGCGTGAGGAGTTGCCGAATAATCAGGGGCACATGAATAATTTCGTTATACGAAATTTGCCGCTACTTGTTCATTGGAAAAGGGATACTTTTCACTCCTTTTACATGTCCTAGAAGTTCGAAACCTTCTGAGCCATCATACCTATTATAAACATTTTTTGACGCTTTGTGTGAATGTCATGTTGTTTGCGTGAATGTCATATATGGCGTTGCTTTCCGATGTAATATGTCTTTATTCCTTATGCTAGTGAAGTAATTGATATACATCATAATGAGGGAAGTAATTAAATATTTTTATGACTAGTATGTGACCAGTAACACGTATTTGTACACCACAATTGTTTGGGCAAATTCTTAGACGTCTGTAGGTTTTTAACATTTCAGAGACGTATTTGAAATGAGTCATAGGTATAGCTAAAAGCGTTTAAAATGTTATTTGCAATGTTGCAATAGGAATGATTATTTTCAATCAGTTAATATATTTTCATTCCAAGACAATTCTCAGATACATTACAATACAAAAATACCTTCTATATTTTTCTAACATAAGGTAACTCAGAATGAATATTACATACTTTTAAGGCATGTAGAGGGGACAAAAATGATCACTTTTGCTAATACATACGTATTGGGAAATACAATGCAAGCAGATATATGTATTTCTACATGTGCTACTTGCCCTCAATTATTTGGTAACCGCGTACGCACAGATGTTCGGCAGCCTCATGGAATTTCCTTGACTGTCAGACATTGATCTGCAGAACTTCTGTGCATAAGTTGACACAACGTTAGAGAAAAAGACACATGTGCAACTTAGTCATGTTTAATTTTCTACTACAGGTTTATTGGCAGAAAGTTATAACGTCTCCCCTGTACATGCTCTTGACGTTTGTAACTTTTATTCTTAGACATCTGTATTTCTCACGCAAGTGTAGATATAATACGTGCAAGAAAACATTGCAGTGATAGTTAATCCAGGCAGCACGAGGGAGCCAAACCATACGGTTAGCAAATCTTCGTAAGAGCTCATTCAGCAGCATTTCCATGTATTTTAGAACTGGTGTTATTGTTATTGCATCAGGGATCATATTAATAATGAAATCAAATAATTGTCAACGACCATAAACTTCATTATAAACACAAACGCGTGTAAATAAACAACGCTTTATACAAACGACTATTACAAATGATATGGAATGTATCCGAAATGAACTGATGCACTCACATCGCCATTGGCAAACCGTATTATCACACGCGTAGCCTTTTGCCGGTTGCATATATTTATTCTAACTACAAATTGAACAACCAGAGACAGGAAATGTACGATGTGCATTCTTTATTTTTAATTTACTCTATATTCACTCACACGACACTGCAGAAAATACGTATTAGAAACGAGTTTCCTTTTAGAAGAAAAGTAATCAAAAATATAGAAATAAGAAAACGCCAAGATTCAACTTTTAGTACGAAAATCATTAGTTTAAAGAATGATTTATTTACAAGTTAAATTGTTGTTTACCATACCTTGTTCTCTCTGTGATCATTATATATGTATAAAATGAATGTGCGATGAATTGTATGTGTTTGTTCTACGTCCTGTGTACGTGGATTGATGAACGTTGTAGAAACGAAGGGAGAGTATCTAAGCCCCGAAGCAACGGCGACAGCGTTGTGAAGGGCAATTGTAACGAAGGCTTCGCAACTACAACTGTTTCCCAAATCCCTGTGTCATCCTTCCCGGGCGCGTCCTCCCCACGCGCGGCGGAGCGGACAAGGCCGACCGCGGCGCGGCGGCGAGCAGGGCGGAGCGGAGCGGGGCGTGGCGGCCGCCGGCGTCTGCATCCGCCTCCCGCGCACGCGCCGCCACCGCGCCAACCGCCGCCGCGGGCGTAATCGCATCGCTTCCGGCGGCCGCCTTGCGCCGCCCGGCGGCATGTAATGAGCTAGCGCAGCTGATAAGCGCTAGCAGCTGGCGGCGGGGCGCGCGCGCGGGCGGGCGGGGCGGCGCGGGGCGCCGGAGAGGGGCCGAACCGGCGCCGCGTTGTGTCGCTTCGCGACGCGCGTGCGTGAGTAGACGGCGCGCACCGCGCAGCCCCGCGCACGTCGCGCAACGATCCGCGCAACGCCGCGCAACGCCGCGCAACACGCGCGCAAACGCCCGCACCGCACCGCGCCCGCGTGCGCCGCGCAGCCCGCCACTCACGCCGCGTGTCCGCGTGTGCAGGAGCGGCCGGCGCCATGATCGACCCCAGCTCGTCGGAGGAAGAGAGCGAGGAGGAGCAGCAGGAGGAGCAGGGCGGTGGGGCGGTGGTGGCGGCGGCGGTCACCACGCGCACCCACGGGATCACCACCACCATCACCACCACCACCCCGGAGCCGAGCGGCGGTCTCGAAGTGCCCGCAGCGGCGCCGCCCAGCCAGGTGAGTGCGACCCCCGCCCCCGCCCCGCCCCGGCGCCTCGGCGCGCCGCGGCGGGGCGGGCGCGGCCGCGGCGGGGAGGCGGGCGGCGGGCAGCGGGGGGCGGCGGCGGCGGCGACGGCCCGCCCCGGTGGCGAGCGCCCGCGCCCGCGCGCCCCCCTCGCGCCCGCCCCGCCCGCGCCCCCGCCCCGGGGGGCCCCGGCGCTCGCCCCGCACACGCACACGCCCCCGCACCCACAGCACAGCACGCCACTCGCACCTCGCACCACGCACCGCGCCGGCACAAGTGGCAAGTGAGCGCCCGGCCCTCGACCAGCAGCAATGCAACACAGAGCAGGCCACGCTCTGCAGCGGCGCGCTGGCATTGTTGCACTTACAGTTCCTTTCTCTGCGCCCAGACCGCCGCTCTTAGAACTGAAGGGCTCCCTCAAAGTACGCTGTTTATCACTGTTTTAGAAAAGTGATATACAACGTTCTTTGAGGGAGCTCCTCAGTGATTGAGACGACGTCAATTACTTCATCGCACTACAGGTTTTTTTCTAACAACGTTTGGTGAAGTTTCAAATCATGTATTTTCTTTCCTCATATGAGGAGTTTCACGAACAACATTCGAGAGGTCGACGCACATAGAAGAGTGAAAATTAACGAATTCTTGAACTGAATTAAATTATTTTCAATGATTTGCAGAAAATTTCATTAATTTGAAGAAAATGTCCAATACTCAGGATTCCTAAAAATTGTTTTGGTCCCCGAATATTATTATCCTAACTAAATTGAAAATGCCAGTAATGCGTAATTGAATGTATGATGACACATTGTCGAATATGAAGATTAGATGTGAGAGAACAGATTGTTTTTTTAAGTAATTTCTTATGCACCGAAAGTTGCAATATTATACCAAAACATCGACAATATATTCTACATTATATTAAAACAAGGAAATCCTACAAAAATTGTCAATAGTTGTACAGTTTAGGACACGACCAATTTAACCAAAATAATGTTTATAACTTGAAATAATATTTTTAATTTTTGGGGTTTGTGCGTTCTTATGAGAAATGCTTTTTATTCAACCGTGGTATATTATGCTGTAACATAACGACTCCAAAACAGACACAAATCTAATCAAAGAAAGTTCCAAGGTTCCGTTTGGACGGAATTTAAATTAGAATTTTCTATCTGCTTACAATATTATTAAGAATATTGTAATATTTCACAATCTTTAATCTGTCAGATTAGAAATACACACATATAAATGTCACAACATAGACTTCGTTTGCGTCTCGACTTTAAAAACTAATTCTTGGGTCGTAATAATTCATTTTCATCTCATATGAAATGAGTTAACATTATATTTTCTTTATCCGAGTTGGTCAATATTCTCCTGTGTCTGATATGTCCATGATAGCGGTAATATCTTCATAACCATTTCAACTTTGGTCTAAACCTGCTACAAAACAACTTTTTTTAAATTTTGATCAGGTCGTGATGTGTTCACTTGTAATGTACTGACCAAATCTTTTTTGTATGATTTGTGTGAAGACAATGGTAGCGTTATAATCTTCTAATAAAACATAGTTTTTATATAAATGTTAATTTTCGCGTAAATTATTTCTAATTTAATAATGGTAAAACCGTCCTAATTGACTGGAACAATAGTTTCTGGCTGCAACTCCATATGGTTTGAATTTATTTAAGCAAGACAGCAAAAATTAAACAACTAATTTCGAAAGCAATAAATTCAAAATTATCAGCCAATTTCTGTTTTGTCAGTTTTCTCGAAAATACTAGAGACATTTTTGGTGAATGGAAACTTTTCTAAGAAAAAATACATTTTCATACTCTCCACGTAGATTTAGAAAACCAAAATCTACGGAATCGGCCTTTTGTTCTTTTCTTAAAGATGTTGCAACATTAATGGATCAAAATGTAAAGAATTTTATGTACTTAACTTTCCAATCTTCGCCAATTGAGCATGGCGACCAGTAGGATTCTTCCCTAACCTCCTTCTTCCATACGTAAACAGTAAGCACTCGTTCATTAGAAACGGAAGAATAGGTTCTCTTGGTTGATAACACGAATGTCCCTTCCAGTAAAGAAACGACGTAGTACGATTTCAGATGTTTTTAATTGGTTCCTTGCTAACAAATTAACAGGAAAGACAGCAAATGCAATTTTGCATTTCAATCAGTCGCCCGCATACGCCATTTATAATGAACCATAAACAATTGGCTGAGTTCAGGTAACAAGATTTCTGGATCTCCCAATTAAGTCAAGCTTCAAATGGAATATCCATATAGTTGAATTGAACACCATATTAAGTTAATTATGGTATTCATTCAGAATTATTTCAAATTCATACAGTTTTCATGCTGCCCGTAGCCAATGTAGTACATTCCCCGCTGAGATGTGGCACAATATTCTTAAGAAGCAGTGCTATAGTACCCAGTCACTTAAAATTTATTTTGTCCTTTTTTTCACTTTCGCATCTCTCTAGAAGGATTGAAATATGACCTCAAGAATATTATAGAAGGGTAAAATTTGGTTCTTTATGCTTATTTTCAATTAAAAATTTGAAATCTGTTTTGAGAAAATGTCGTTTTTACGTTTTTGAAAATGCACGATTTTCAGCTCATTTTCACAGAACACTTTAGAGATTTTGAGGTCCTTCCTAACAAACTTTGTACTTACAAAATGTACTTGGGCAATTGTACTTACAAAATAACAAATTTATAAAAATTGCCAGTAATGTAAATATTAACGACATGAGAGATATTTCACAAACATACATTTACCTTATTTTTGAGCAACGAAAAGTAAAATTAGCATTTATTCCGTGATATTCAATGCATATATCATTATCAAAACAAAATATTCAAGACAAAATTTGGAAACATTCTTGAAAAATTATTATTTTTAATATTACCCATAGGAGAGACGGACAAGGTTTACCGTAAACCGATTTTTCCTTTTCAAGGACTCACAAAACGTGGGTTCTAATTACACGTGTTAGAGGATTTACAGGAACACGAATTGTCATATTTTTAGTTATTAGGGGCCCACAAAGCGAATTTATCGGTCGAAAAATTACCGCTTTGCTGCAGTATTAAAATACATTTTCTATATTACGGATGTAGAATCGAAAAAAAAGTAAAACAATCAAATTTAATTAGGCTGAGATTTATTCCTAAATGTAGGATGAAAATTTGCCATTTTCAAAAACTGAGGTTTTGATGAAAATTGGTGCTGCGTTATTTTTATCAACGAATTTTTTCACTATTTCAGAAAATAATTCAAGAAAATATTTGGGGACAATTGAAAAAATAAAAATTGCGTAAGAACTCACGTACCCACGAAAATTGAAATGTCAGCTTGAAATTAAAGGGATAGCGACTTCAGTTACGTAGATCGAAGACATTTACTACTTGTAGGAGAAATAAATATTCACATATTTGTGATTAGGAATCCAAAAAACGTGTATTTGTTGCCGACAAATCGACACTTTTGCCTACAGAATTACATAGCTTTCTCTTTCTACGAAGTAGATAAGATACATACATTGGATAAAGAACTCACGTACAACACAACATACGTAAATGTATTTTAAACGGCAGACATTGATAAAATTTTTGGCATAATAACCCTTCCATGTGAAAATATGCAAGATTAAAATTTAATATGGTGATGTCTTGTCTTACTTTTATATTTAACAGTGTTAATTTGTTAACATTATGGTGTAAATCAAATATTAAAAATCTCGAAGTTACCATATTTTGACCTCCTCACAACATTCGGTCAGCATCTTCATTTTCTTTTCGTGCAAATTATAACTATTTAGAAGTGAGATAAGTACACATGTGTGTTTATGGTTAGATATGACAAATTATCACAGTTTTTCGTATATGCGGTATGCTTGCTTTCTGATTTTTAAAGTGTCAATCTAACTAGCGATACTCATACTTTATGTGTAACGTATTATGTGTAACTTTATCAATTTTCGAAAATTCAGAGACTTCTACGAAAATGAAATGTGCGCCATTTTCATAAGCTTACTGTGCTCTATTGAAAAAAAGGAACAAATTTAGAACAGGTTTGAAAAAAAACAATTTTGGTCTTCACTTCAAGAAAAAAGTGTATATATTTTCAAAAATGTGTACGCGGTCGTATTTAAAGGTATCTTTTTAGAAAATATTTGATTAAGGAACAAATCTCTATCATCATTATTATATTATTATTTAACTAAGGATAAGGTCCAATAAAAGTCCTAAATAATAATATTAATAATGTGACAATCTATACCTTACGACATTTATAATAATATAAAACATCGTTATTGTAGTTTTGCAATGTTATTTTTTTATAATATTCGAAAATGCAAAGTTCCACTGAAATGGAATTGGAATCCTTTTTTGAAAGAAAATATTTGAAGCTGTTTTTGAGAATATCTTATGTACCATCATATTAATACCATATCACGTGATGGTGTTGAAGTACAGCAAGGCAATGTTTGAACTAAGATTGATCTCAGTAAAATTGATAGTCAAATGCTTATTATGCAAAATATGTACGTGATACAGCAGAACAAGTATAATTTTCTAAATTAAGACATTCGTCATGATGAAATAATAAAAATACTTTGTCCCGCGAAATCTTCGCAGAGTTGTGTATAACTGTTTGGTTCTGCACTGATTAACAGATCATAGAATTTGTTGGTTGTGGAGTAAACATTTTGATAATATTTTAGTCTTTGGTCTCCCAACATATTTAAAATATATTTTTATTGTTACATAGCGATTAGTTTACATGGTTAAGACGGATGGAAACGTGTTTAATACGAAATATGGTGTTTTCAAAAATCGTTTTTCCTTATCAGTCTGGTTCTTCATCCCTTTTCACAGATTCCAAAAGGATTGCATTGTGTTTGGTTTGAACATACTCGTAATGGATTCTCACGTGTGATTCAAAACCGTGAAAATCAGAAGAAAGGGACCAATTCTGTGTTGTCTGTACCTATGTGGGTGCTTTAGATAGAGAGTGGGAGGAAGAGAGAACGCAGGTGTATATGCGGGCGTGTGTCTGTGTGGGTAGGGTTCGTTCAATGTTAAACACCGACGGTCTTTTCGTGAATAGTCTCGTGACGACCTACCTCGATGGGTGTTGAGCGGATCGATACTAAACGTGCTCCGCAGCCTGCCTGAACGTGCTGACGTGCTCCGGCGCACGGTGTAGACTTGCTCAATCAGATTGGCATTAGCTCTGAACACGCGGGCGGAACCCATGAGGGTGTGGAGAAAGCTATGAATCAAACCCTATCTGGAGTCAGAAGCCAAACTAATTTCTCACCCAATACATTATTTGCTTACAATAACCTTTTGATTGAACTGCAAACTGTCAACGGTAATAAAATGAATCGGAAAGGATATCCTTTTTTAACATTTATTTTCTTAAAAAACATTAGGGGGAA